CATGAGGATGAAAGAGATCTAGGACGGACAGAGTCAAAGCATGCACCATTGGGAGCAAAGACCTCATATAAGAAGGAGGTCCACAGCATCATAGCTGACCAAGAGGTGAGACGAAAAAACTACCAACCAAGAAAAGAGTACTTGATGCGCTGGAAAAAACTTCCAAACAGTAAGGTGAGTTGGGAACCAGCAGGGGACTTATGGCAGTTTGAAGATCGGATCAGGCAGTATCATGCAGAGGATGCAACGAGGGCATTACGTAATTAGGTAAGGGAGAATGTCATGCCCTGGGCGGGGCACCAGGCACATCAGGCGCACCAACACGAGAGCCAAAAGTTGAGGCCCGTACACCAGGCACGCTGGCGGGTATTTACGCATAAGGCCTAGGAGACAAGGCCAGAACACCCGTCCAGCTTGTAGGCCAGCCTATGAGGCCAAGGCCTGGCCTGTAGGCTGCCCGTATCACATCCAGAGGGGCCCAAGGTGGGAGATACGCAAGTGAATCTTTTGAAAGCTTGCAAGATCAACATAAGCTTTCTGACAGATTTGGTTGACCCTAGAATTCAAGAGTTAGAATCTTGATTGATTGTAATCTTTGTAATTCCTTGATTTTAGCCTTTATTCTAGGGATATTACTATTAAGTGTAGTTGGAGCCTTAACTATAAATAGAGGGCTGCTCCACCCTCATTTGTACATCATCAAACACTTCTGTTTCAGTGAATACAGAACATATTTTCAGCATTCTGCATTGTTATCATGTTTCTCTTTAACTTACGTAATCAGCCCTTCCTATTGTTCTAGTGCCCGTACGCTTGTTTTTTAGGCTAACTTAGGCATAAAAGAGGAGATTCTAAGCCTAAGGCCACACGGATTCTGAGTCTAAGGTCAGAGCTCGTGACACTAGTAGTGCTCTAGAAATCACACGTGAAAACTATCATTTTTCAAATTCAAGTCATTAACCTAATAAAAATAAAAATGGTAAACTCATCATCACATGATATATATGTGAAAATATTTTGCTTGATACTTCTTTCTTAGATAGAATGCCAAAATCAATTTTGAATCTACGTTTTGAAGCACGTAATTATGATCTTGAAACAATACCCATCATCTTTGCCATAATAATTAAATTATACTATGATTTAAAACCTGCTCTTTTTTCCTCGAGAAAGCTTTTTTGCTCTTTTTTTTTCTTTTAAAAAGGCTTCCTTAGGATGTAAGCATGCTTTGTAGTTGTAAACTTCAGTGTTATAGTAAAAATATTTGTTTAATGATAGTTTAGTTGACTAAAATAATCTTAGGTTGGTTTCATTAAGTTATTATTTGGAATTAAACTAAAAGAATGATGAAATTACATATGCAAATTAGGTTATTTCTTGTTCATTCATACATTACACTAATGAATAAGATGTTTATAAAATTATTTTTGTTGGTATATAAATGGATGATTACCTTTTGTATATATGAATGAATAAGATGTTTATAAAATTATTTCTACTGGTATATGAATTGATGATTACCTTCTTACCTTCTATATATATATATAAGATAATTTACAAGAATTCTAATTAGATTTTTTTATGCTATGCAGATGCTTTTTTGTAGAAATCTATGATGGGATCATTTATTTTAGGAAGTTGTTTATTTACTCGGAGCATTATGTTTGTAAGGGGATTTGGTTTTGTTTTAGATGTTATGTACGTTGTTGAAATAAGGCTGTTGTATTTTTTATGCTTGATTGGTATATTGAATACTGTTAATGAGTTGGGTTTATTGAGCTTGTTAGTTATATATGTAGCTACACTTGTTGACTTTTTTAAGACTTGTGATATTTTATATGAATTAAAATATTTTAGTTTTGGAAATGGCTTGTAATAGGTGCATGTATGTTTTTTTTTTTTTTTTATTGAGGTGGTTTTGCAATTATTTATTTGTTTACAAATTTTTTAAGATTATATTGTTCAGAGTTTTATTGAAGTTTTAAGGTGATCAAAAGATTTTTAAGTGTCTAGTGGTGCAAACTTATGATTATGATTTTTAGGGTGAAGTGGTGTAACTCTTTATTTATGTTTGTTTTATTGATATTTGTTTTATTAGACTTGGTACAATAACTTTAATTCTTCACTTAAACTAAGTTTGTGGATTATAAATAATTTACTTGTAGTTTTAATGTTATTAAATATCTTTTACTTTATTTTGTTTTTTTTTTTTTTGTTTATATGAAAACATATCATGTTATGATTATAAATAAATTAATATTAATAATTAAAAATATAATTTTTTAAAAAATTTATCAATGTCTTAAAATTTATACTGACGCATTTGATCGTTGAAATATTTCAGACGATACTAATAATCACCAAAATATAATAAATAAATTAAAACATATAAGTCTATATTAACAATCTTTAACCGTCGATAAATGTAAGAAAATTAAAGCATGCAATTTTATACTGATAGTCTCTAACCATCAGTATAGGTAAAAAAATTGAAAAATACAAATCTATACTGACGGATGCTAAGCATCAGTATAAATAAAAAAATTACAAGTTTATCTTGAAAATATTTGAAGGGATTCAGAGAAAGGATTCCCTTGTTTCTATTGAATCTACTTATTACTTATGTTACTACTAGACAAACTAGTAAGAGGATATTGAAATTTTATGATAATGGTTTCTTTTTTATTGAAAAAATACACTTGTTCTTACTTGTTTCCAAGTTACCAATCTTGAAGAAGCATCCAGTTTGTTTCTCTCTTAGAAAAAGCTTAAATTTAGAAAAGCTCAGTTTTAGTGTCCATTTGAATTTTATTGTATTTTTTGTGCATTGTGATTAAATTCATCGCACTGTTAATTAAATTTAAATATTAATTTTAGTGAGATTCAATCATTATAAATTTTTTATTAATTTTTTTAATCATAACTATAATAATTTTTTTCAATCACAATTATAATAATAATTATTATTATTTTAAATTTCATTACCATTAATTTCACCCTTTTTTCAAATAGAATCTTAAAAATACTTAAACATGGGACTCGAGATAAGTTTAAGCCTACTTAAACATGGGACTCGAGAAGAGATAACGCCAGATTCAAATTAATCCAAGTTTGCATTTTTCTTGGTTTTGGACCATGGACCATGTATAATGTATGTCACTTTTGACTTGTGCACCAAAAATGAACTCCCTTAAATACCCTTTAATCATCGAGGTCCCAAAAGTTAAGCAGTGTCCCAATTTATTTTTTCTGGGATGAACAATTAGCTTGCTAGTTTAATTATGGCAACAGCTTACTATAAATCATCACAGATATCAATATCAAAAGGGTATATCAAACACTATATAGAAACACCGAATTGTTTTTGACCTCCCTAAAAAATGTCTCCTCTACCCAAAACCTTTTTACATATAGCACATGCTATGCCGTGGCCATACAGCAGCATTTCTTTTCCTAATCATCTAGTAGTATATCAAATGGTAGCAGTATATTTTCTAGTCTGGACATGTTCACAGCTTTCCAACTTATTAATCAAATGTAATGTGCAAACGAAAATTTAAAATAAACTGAGACCAATAATGAAGAATTAGATGCAAGCACTAAAAAGTTTCAAATAGTAAACCACAACTGATACAAATGAAACTGTCATCTAAAAATAATTTCCTTCCTCAATCACGGGAAATTTAAAATTGATAAGCGCCACTCTCTGCTTATTATTCTCTCACAAATATGTCTTTGACGCTTCTATTTTTGTCTCACCATAACAACTAGACCCAAAAACATTTATGGATTACAGCTCATGCAATATTACATAAATAAATAAAATATGATTTTGAAGCATTCATAAAGTTAGAAGATGAAAGATCCACCTTCTTGGTCCTGTAATATAGTAATGTTGATGTGTTTTTCCTTTTTCTTTTTCTTTCACCTCCTGGAACAGAGCCACGGGACCAACCGGCCAATGCAAACAGAATATTGCAATTCGCCTAAAATTGTAGTGGATGACAACCTAAAAAAAATGATTGGCTGCACAGTGCAAAACTCAAGTGCTTAAACTCAATATAATCATTGGGCCTCATTACACTTCGTTGAAAACCAAATAGATGATTATAAACATAAAGTTCAAGAGGAAAAATGGCTCTTTTTTTTTTTTTTTTTTTGAAGTGCGATGGGTGTAGTCAGGGTCGAGGCTTTGCTAGTCAAGGTTGGTAACATCTGATACTGTTGGCTACTCTTTACGAAAGGTTCCTCTCCCGTGAATTAGTTTAGTTTTAATTTAAAAACCATTATTGTAGATTGTATTTGGCATTCAATCAATTGTAGTCCAACATTTGGCCAGTGGTTACCGTTTAATATGGGAATCGATTTTTTTTTTCTTTTGCTATTGTGGATAAACATTTTCCAACCTGTTTCTTTCCAAAATTTCAATAACTGGGCTCTTATCCTTGGCGTTCGGAGTCTACGAAGTCTGACGTCTGGTTCAGGGAAAAGAATTCATATTTACAAGTCAAGATTGATATGCGATTTTACAAGGAAAGGAAAAATCATACCATTTCAACAAACACATAATACATTTAAAACGCCTATGAATGGAATTATTAATACAGTCAGCTTGTACAATACAAACAATTTGTAGTTAATTTGATGCAAAATGAGGAGGATTTTGCATTTGTGATTTTATGTTGTCTTGTGTAGGCTTTGAGACATATAAAGAAGTTTGGCCTGAAATAAGCATGCATTGATTGTGATCTTACAACCCAAGGAGATAGTACAAACTGACTACACTATTAATTACTAAAGCAACTTAACCATGTGTAGCTAAAGCATGAGGGCTTTGGTGGTATGAAAAAAAAAAAACAATTTCCTACAGTCCTATGCAGCCCTGTAGCTTGTAAGTGGATAGGCCATTAACTATAGCTTGTTTTATTTGTTTTTCATTTCGAAGAAAATCAAATGCTTGTACATTTATTAAGATAAAAAATATATATATAATCCTGTAATAGCTGATTTTCAATCGTTTTATGAATGAGCAAAATTGAAAAATTGACGAACCAAGCCTGCAATGCTTTAGTTTTGTTACCCAATTAAATAAATATAAATGGGCTATGTCTGGTGGTGGAGGTTAGCTAAGCTTAGAGGAGTGAGGGCCCATTGGATTTGGGGGGCAGAAGGGACATTTTGGGTACCTACACAATTGTGTTGCTCCTCCTCGTCCTTTGTCATGGGTTGCTTTGCTTTACAGAAGGGCGTCGATAGCGGAGCTAGATAGTGGAAAATAAGTGGGGTTAGTTTCAAGTATCTCTCATTCGCAGAATCACACTAGTAGTTGGGATTTGGAAAAGAGTGAAGAGTCCAGAGTCACATCTGAGAAAGACCAAGATGCCTTGCCTCAACCTTTCAACCAATGTGAACCTGGATGGCGTTGACACCTCCTCCATCCTCTCTGAAGCCACTTCTTCGGTTGCCAAACTAATAGGCAAACCTGAGGACGTATGTTTCATGTTTCCCCTCTCTTTTTGACTACTTTCCCCTTTCTAGTCTATTTGTTTATCGATTTCGTGAATCTTTAACTTCTTTTTTTTATGGTGCTGGCAGCTGTGGTCTTGGTGTTGGGTGTATAGGATGTATCCTCTTTTGGTAAAACCCTTTAGGCCTTTACCGTTGGTGATAAATTGATCATTACCCATTTAAGTATTTCTTTAGAATGGCATCTTCAGAGGTTATTACACTTATGCATGTTTGCTTGCTTAAGTAGCCGCTAAGACCTCAACTTGTTGTTTTGCATTTCATCATCCTAAGATCCCTTAAAGAAAGACTTATAACCTATTGACTGCTTTTTTGTTTTTTTTCTTTCTTTCCTTATTGAAAGAGGTTTTTGGTATGTGCTTATATACGAATGGGAATTCGTTTGTGTTTAAAGTATCTTTTCTCCTTGTTCAATTCCCAACATCATTGCGAGTATAGCATAAGAAGTTCATCAAATTTAGGTTGGATATTGGGTGATGCTTGAAGAGTTTTGCATGTCTAAATAGTTAATATCATAATAGTTGCCATCATCTTCTCTATTTTACTTGTATACATTTTAGTTCATCAAGCATATAGTAAATGCTTTACTGTTCTACTTCTTTTCATTTTCTTGTATAAGACTTGCTATTTGCTTTGTTAGACCCTTCGTATCACCTAGAGCTGTAAGAGAAATATGCTTCTGGATCAAGTTATTTATGTTCTTGTTCCAATACTCTTGTTCTCCTCCCTTGTTTCTGCTTCTTATTAACAAGCTAGAAGGAAATTAATACTGTTCTCAGTATTGCATGTTTGTCCATGACAGTTAAAATATATATAGCTGTTGATTTGCAGTATGTGATGATTGTGTTGAAGGGTTCAGTACCCACGTCATTTGGTGGTACTGAGCAGCCAGCTGCCTTTGGCGAGTTGGTGTCCATTGGTGGCCTAAATCCAGATGTGAACAAGAAACTGAGTGCTGCAGTTGCCGCAATTCTTGAAACCAAGCTACAAGTGCCTAAGTCACGGTTCTTCCTCAAATTCTATGACACTAGGGCAAGCTATCTCTCTTTCTTAATTGTCAAGAGATTGGGTCATTGTCATCTATTTATTTCTTCTCATTGCATTTCCCTGTTTGTTTAGGCACATCAAAGCCAAGAATATATACAGTGTTTGCATGCTTTACACCAGCGCTAGGTAATGTAAATAAATTTTTTCTGTTTCATACTGTGAGCATTACTCTCATTAGCTTTCTTGTGAGTCCAACTTATGTGCGTGTGATGATATTTAGCACTCATTTGTGGCACTTGCTGCTTGATAGAGCTGTTACTTTGATTATTTTGCAGGGTTCCAACTTTGGATGGAATGGATCCACCTTCTGAGTGTGGCATATTCTGAATTTCTCAAAACATCAATGTGGTCTGTCCAAATGCTATATTTCTATGGTGAATTGGCATTGAAAATATTTGGTAATGCTTGGCAAGGAATTATGTTGTTTATCTATGTGTTTTCTTAGGAACATAAAATGCAAACATTAATGCTCACTAATTTTGCCCGGAAGTTTTGTTATCTTGGCACTATTCCATATGAAGTTATGGCACATGACATGATTCAGTTTTGGATGGAAAAGCAATTTAGTTTGTCAAACGATCATCTACTGTTTGATATATTTGAAATAATGTTTAATTATGTGCTGCATGAGTTTAGAGCTCATTCCTATGCCCTAATGGCTTCTCCTTCCACCTTCATCTCTTTTAATCTTCTTGGATGCAGAGCTTGCATGGATGTTCTAGGTTCTCCATATTGTTGCACCCAATGGCTATTTTTGCACCAGCTACTTTGCACGGTGCAAGTGTCACGGGTCGAGACGTAAGCTCCAAACCCGCGCGGCTCCGAGATCCGAACATGCACTCATCCGGCGTCTTAGATCAGCCTAACCGCCACGGTTCACACCCTTGTGAGGAATTATCCGCTCTGGCCTCACGGTTTTATCCTACAAAAGGCGTCTCACAAGGCAAAGGTGGTGTGAACACTTTTATACCTCAGTGATCCTCCTATTATATTCGATGTGAGATTCAAAACTCTTCTTTTGATGTGAGATTCAGGACTCTGTGGGATTCAAGACTCCTCTTTTGATGTGAAATTCATGACTTTTTTTTAGGTCCGTGACATTCTCCCCCATCCAACTTCACGACGCCCTCGTCACGGAGGCTGGTCACTTTGCTTACCTCTCTCGAGGCGCTTGACGTGGGTCAAACGGTTTAGGGCTGGCTCTGATACCACTTGTCACGGGTTGAGACTTAAGCTTCAAACTCGCGCGGCTCCGAAACCCGGGCATGCACTCATTCGACGTTCCAGTCAGTTTAACTGTCACGGTTCACACCTTTGTGAGGTATTGTCCGCTCTAGCCCCCTTGGCCTCACAGTTTTGTCTTACAAAAAGCACCTCATAAGACGGAGGTGATGTGAACCTTTTTATACTCTAGTGATCCTCCTATTATGTTCGATGTGAAATTCAGAATTTCTCTTTAGATCCGTGACATAAGGATGAGTTGTGAGTCCCAACGGGTTAACTTGGGTCATGAGGGTTCATGATAAGATTAGAGGTTTAGTGGGGAGAAGAAATGTGGTAAGCTGCAATTTGTGTACAAACAAAAAGTAAGCGCAGGTACTTTAAACTGATTCGGTGGAGTGTGATTTTGCAACAGCCTATAGTCTAAGCTAGAAAATGTTGTGGGGAGTGGCTGGTATTACAGGTTGCAATTTCATCCCGGAATTTGTGGTTTGTTGTACACTGAGCAAATGATGCATTTAAGCACTTGAGACATTATCATCTTTTTCATTCTCATTGATATATATTTTAGTTGCCTGGTTGAGAGATGCTTCCTTGACGACGGTGTATATGTGTTATTTTGGAAGTCAATGCTTACTTCGTTTGGTTGGAACCTAAGCCAAGAAGGTTCTATAAATCTTATCAAGTCTAGTATGGATAAAATTTTGGTTCAAAATCAAAAGAATCAAAAAATCTGTGGGAAAAATATGCTCAAACCCAAGATAACTAATCCAATTCTTGTTATTGGGCTCGCCAAAAATTTTCACCGACCCATCCTAAATAATGGTAAAATCTGAGTGGTCGATAATATGAAAATTCAAGCCCACTCGTCAAAATGCAAAAAAAAAAAAAAAAAAGTAATAATAAAAAAACCCGCAATCCAAGCGCTCAGAGCTTAGCGATCCGAGAAGCAACATCCTCTCTTTCGTTCGTTCGTTCGTTCCCATCGATTTCTCCGCGCCAAATAAAATCCCAAATCTAGAATTCTAAAATCTAAATCTAAACTTGGCCAATCATTCATTTTATCCCTCTTCATTCTCAAATCCTCTAACACATCTCTTAAACGCAATGTCTTCCTCCTCTGTTCCACCCGTCCTCCCTATCTCCACTGCCCAATCCGGCGAATCCCAACCTCCCGTCGCCACCCCGGCATTTCGCTCTTTCATCTCCCATCTCAATGATTCCCTCCGCAACGGCCTCTCCCAGCGCCGTCCCTGGGCCGAACTTGTAGACCGTTCCGCCTTCTCCAAGCCTGAGTCGTTCTCCGAAGCCACCCTCCGTGTCCGCAAAAATTTCTCGTATTACCGAGTCAATTATCTATCGGTGATTGGTCTGATTCTTGCCTTTTCGCTTCTTTCCCACCCCTTTTCCCTTCTCCTCCTTTTGGGACTCCTCTGCTCCTGGATCTTCCTCTACCTCTTCCGCCCTGCTGACCAGCCTCTCGTCATCTTTGGCCGCACCTTCTCCGACCGCGAGACCCTCGGCATCCTCATCATCTTTAGCGTCTTCGTTGTCTTCCTTACCAACGTTGGATCTCTTCTCATTTCGGCTCTCATGGTTGGAGTCGGACTCGTCTGTGCTCACGGCGCCTTCAGGGCCCCTGAGGACCTCTTCTTGGACGAGCAAGAACCAGCAGCCACCGGTTTCTTGTCCTTCCTAGGCGCTGCTGCCTCCAATGTAGCCGCTGCCGCTGCCCCTGCCGTGGCAGCTCGTGTCTGAATGTGATCCAGGGATCCGTCTTTCTGAATCTCGTTCTCTAGTGTATTACAATATACTTCAATTGTGAATGATTCAAATTTTTCCTGTAGACAAAATATTTGGGAAATTTTGGGACATTTTATGAATAGGGTGGATATAAACATTGGTGAAATGTATATGGATCTGGTTTATTAGATACTTTATATCGGTGTATCCATTGAGACTACGTGATACAAAGTTGTAATTCCCTTTTATTAGCACAGATCATGCATAGAGATCTTATGTTTATTCTGTATCTAGTGCATATGTGTTTATGAAAGTTTCTGAAAATTCATATTGTCAAATCTGTGCATAGAGCATGATTATGTCCATTTCTATGAGGTTACCTCTTTGCATTATAGAAACAATATTATTTAATCGCCCCTATTAGTTGATGAAAAATTCACTGCAAGCTATTCACTCATCAGCTCTTTCTTATAACATCTTAACGGATCAATGCTTAATTTTTACTCTTTAGTTTTTTAATGTAAGTTGGTACACAGCCTGAGATGTTCAATGTTGATAGCTAAATGTCCTTTGTCTTCTCTTCCTCTTATGCTGCTTTTACTTTTCTATAATGCTTGCGTGCATAAGATTGTTTCTCCCTCCTTACAGATTTTAGTGTTCTTTATTTATTCCTACTGGCAACCTGAAACGTATGAAAAGGGGTAAAATTTAGTGAAATCAAATTGCATGACCATTAATCGACCTGCCTTCATGCTCGGTGGGGTATTCAGCTATGATATTTGTGGTTGTTGATTTTCTCTAACGTATAAACTAGGCTTGATTTTTTAAACACTGGCCCTCAGCTTTTGTGAGTAGGAGAATCTAATCCCCTAACTTTTTGGGCAAAAGGGTTGGGAAAGGGATGTTTTGAGGTTGCTGCTATCAGGACCATCATATTTTATTCTGGATTCCCCGGCTTCTCTCTGTATGTTGTTTATTAGAAGAAGAAAAAAAAAAAAAAAACAGTCTTGGTATGTGGATGAGGATGAATATTTGGTCTTAATTACTGGTTTCTGGTGCTCTGGCAGACTGGTTGAGACAACTCTTGCCTTGCCGATTACAACATTACTATTCTGAATTTCTGATACAAAAAAGTTCATGCTAATTATTAACTGTTGATAGATTTATTTGAACTGCAATTATAAATTTCTTTGTTCAGATTCTTGCCTTGTCATTTTGCTAGGAGGTTATTCACCTTTTGTAGAGAAAACATGATGTGTCATGGTTGCCCCTGTCTGATGCAGTCATGTGTACATAAACCTTGAGAATGATCTCAAAACATCTAATGACATTTGAATTTATACTTTAATATTCTTGTTTTAGATAATCATTTCATGATTTTCTTTGTTAGAATCACTTAATCAAGAGGTAAGTTTTGTTAATTCTTGAAATTGAAATGCTATTTGGATTCTTTATCCAACATGGTTTATGCTTTGTCAAAGGTGTGCATCTGCTTTGTTAAATTGAATGAATTGGTTTCATTTAAAGATCAGGTGTGCATCAACCTTATGTCTTTCTTCCGCCCCTCTCAAGCTTTTGCCTGCACCAGCAGAGGCACCAAAACATCATCAGAGAACACTTAGTACCAAGTACGTCATCCTCATAGCAGTTGGTGGCCTTCTAGCAATTCTATTAATATTATGCTTCATCTTACTCTGCTGCTTACTGAAGAAAAAGGCTTCTTCTTTGAAACAAAAGAGTGGTAAAATGGGGGCTGCCACTGGAAAAACTTAGATGGCAGTTCCTGTGGCAGGCACTGAAGTTGAATCAGGGCCAGACAGTGAAATGGGTGGAAAATTAGTCCACTTTGATGGTCCATTTATCTTTACAGCTGATGATCTATTATGTGCCACTGCTGAGGTTATGGGAAAGAGCAGTAATGGTACAGCATACAAGGCAACTTTAGAAGATGGAATTCAAGTTGCTGTGAAGAGGTTGAGGGAGAAGACTATGAAGGGACAGTGGGAGTTTGAGACTGAGGCTGCTGCACTTGGAAAGATCCACCATCCAAACCTACTTGCCCTTGGGGCCTATTAGTTGGGACGCAAAGGAGAGAAGCTTCTTGTATTTGATTAAATGCCCAAAGGAAGTCTTGCATCCTTCCTCAATGGTAAGTAGATTTAACTAACTTAAAAATTAGTATATACACATCTGTATGCATATTCACTGCACATAATCAGTTAGGTACTTCAATTAGTTCTAGGAGAGAAAGAGAAGAAAAATAACAAGGATATGTTTAATTCTGTATCTCAGACAGACTATATGTTTTTAGACTTGAAATGAATGTTGCCAGAAATAGAGTCTGTTGTGTATGATTATGATAGGTTCAGAAATAATCTATTATGTATGATTATGATAGATTCAGAAACAAAACTAAGTTCAATGTAGTAAAGTAAAATCAAGCTTTTGCAAAGGTTCAAATGTTCAACTTCAGTCAAAATTAGGAGAAATCTGTCTTAATCATGCCTACACAAGTATTTTTCTTGATCATTCCTTCATACATAAAACTAAGTTCAATGTAGTAATGTAAAATCAAGCTTTTGCAAAGGTTCAAATGTTAAACTTCAGTCAAAATCAGGAGAAATCTGTCTTTAATCATGCCTACACAAGTCTTTTTTCATGATCATTCCATCAATTCTAACTATTTCTTGTGCAGCACAAGGGCCAGAAACCACCTTTAACAAGGATGAAAATAGCAATTGGGGTTACACATGGACTGAACTACCTACATACCCAAGGAAATATTAATGGAAACCTTACATCAAGTAACATACAACTTGATGAGCAAACCAATGCCCATATTGCAGATTTTGGCCTTTCTCGGCTAATGACTGCTGCTGCCAGCACAAATGTGATTGCCACTGCTGGGACACTTGGCTACAGAGCATCAGAACTCTCAAAGCTCAAGAATGCCAGCACAAAGACTGATGTGTACAGCCTTGGAGTGATCATACTGGAACTTCTTAGAGGGAACTCCCCAGATGAGCTGGTGAATGGCATGGACTTGCCTCAATGGGTGGTATCCATTGTAAAAGAGGAATGGAATAATGAAGTCTTTGATTTGGAGCTCATGCAAGATACACCAACCATAAATGATGAGTTGCTTGACACATTGAAACTAGCTCTTCATTGTGTTGAACCCTCACCTGCAGCATGTCCCTAAGTTAAGCAGGTTCTTCAGCAATTGGAAGAGATTAAACCAGAGGTGGCTGCTGTGGCTGCTGCTGGTTCCGGTGAAGATGGAGTTACAGTTCCAGCAACAAGTGAATAGAGTTACTTCATTGTTTACAGCATTTTAGGGTGCAAGATAATCAAGGGTTCACAGAATAGGGGTGGTTTAAACTTGGAATTCATTATAGGAGAAAGAGAAACCAAAGATTATTAGATTCTTACAACTATTTGTTGTTTTGTATATGTAAATTATAAGTCTTCTTTTTGTGTAAGGCAATTTATTAAGAGAGAATCTTTTATGATATTATTTCCACTTTGAAATTGCCTAGTTTTGATCTTGGTGACATATACTGAATCATGTCTGCATCACTTTCTCTGTGTCGGATTCCCCTTCAAAATCTTTTGATCTAAAATATTTGCAAGAAATAATTTCTGATTAGTCCAGGAGTTTTGCTGGTATTATTAGTTTATGCCGCCGTAAGATAGCAAAACCCAAGAAAAAAAACAAAAAACAAAAATGAAAGCCCAGTTAACCCAATAAACAGTAACACACCATAAAAAATAAAAAAGGGTAGAGCTGTCGATGATGATGAGCCCATCGTCCTCACTTTACACTTTTAGCGGAATACCCAAGTATGAAAGGCAAAATCGAAACGATGCGTTAAGCCAAATCTGTCGGTCTCTTCCCTCTCTTGATCACCCAACCGGCCCCCCATCTAAATCTAATTCCTCAATACAGCTCGCTGATTCTCTGCGCTTTTCACGTCATGGACGATCTGCTACTGCAGAAAATAGCAATATCAGGCCCCACATTGGCCTCCATGATCCAACGCTTCTCATCGTCCCCAGCTGACGTCGACGGTCTCCTTTTCGGCCACGTTACTTACATCGCCCCTTCCACCCTCTCCGACGATTCCCAAAGTCCCTCTGATTCGCAACTAGTCGCCACAATCTCCAGCTTCCTCTCCTTCCCTTCCCTTCTCTCCTTCTACGACTCACTCGGCCAGGTCGATTCCTCCCGACTCACCCCTACTCACCTCAACCACAAACCCTTCATCGGCTGGTTCTCCTCTCGCCGGAAAACCCCCCTCCGCCCTTCCATGCGCGAATCCTCCGTCTCTCGTTCTCTATCCTGTATCCCCAATCTCTCCCTCCCAATCGAAAACGCTAATTTCAATTCCCTTTTCGCTCCTTCAATTTTCCTCCTCTTCACTACTCCTGTACAAGACCAATCCATCCAAACCAACCAATATCGGGCCTTCCAGCTCCAATCATCGAAGCGCTGTTTTAATCCGGTATCAATGGATATTGTTAATATTGGGCCTGCGTTTAGAGGACATTACGGGTCGTTTAGGCCGAGTTCTTCGCTGCCCTTTTTGAACTGCGAGTTAAGGAGCTTAACGCCGATGAATGAAGATAGAAATGAGGGGAAGCTAATTGGAATGAAGCAAACAACAAAGGACCAATCGCAGTTGGATATGTGCACGGAGGGAATGCAAATTGGGAGATTGAGCCGGTTGATTGGACCGGAGGCCGTTAGTTACACGTCTGGATTAGAGGATTTATATGAGAAAATGCTATCTAAAATCGAAAGCTTGGCCAGACTCGTTGAAGCCAGCTCAGCTAAGGTTCTTGAACAGGTGAGCATATTGCCATTGTTTTTGTATGCTGAGTGTGGTTAAATTGGTTTCTTTGTTTCTAAATCAATTTTTGACAGGAAAATCACAATAGGAAGTTAAGGTACAAAGTTGGTAGATCTGCATGAATGGAATAATTGCTTCCTCTTGTTTGTCATTATAGCAGGTAAATTTCTTTTATTTGATTTCATCTGGTTTTCCCTAAATGGTCCTCCTTTATATTGCGTATTTACTATTAGTGCTGCTGCTGCTGGATCACTTCATAATCGTATGGCTAAACCAATTTAGTTTAGGTGCACCACTAGCTGTTGCCAATTGACTTACTACAACAGAGTGTATTAATTAGGTTCAGGGTTGAACTTTTTTTTTTTTGGTTATATTCAAAATGAACTTAGCAATAAGGATAGCTGAATATAGTTTGTTTCCCCCACTAAATGTTTGATTTATGGTGCTGTTACCTTCTATGAAGGTTCACCTTGTTTTAGCTAATTTCAATCTTTTCTAAATTTTGATTCTTGCCATTTTTGTGAATGCAGAATAATTTGCGGTGTTTTCTATTTGGAGAAACTAATACCTTCCTCTTTTAGTGCCTTTTATGTTTTGTCTGTCACATTACTGTGAAAATTTGTATATGGCTTTATAAAACAAAAACTAATAATAAGAAGGGCATGATGAAGATTCTCAATATTTAGGTTTAACATACATAATGGTGATGTTGAGTTGCCTTGTCTTCTGGAAAGCCCCAGGAAGTGGTAGGGGGAATATTCTAGAGCTGCATGACATGTTATTTTGGAAGGGTTTGATAGTTCTTCCCTCAAATCAGTTTGCAAATGCAGAGGGCACACAGAATGTTGTGTTATTCTGGGCATTATGGTTGACATGCATGTGAGATTTTTCATCTATGTCACAGAAATGTAATTCTGTTTTGCCTCATTGGATAAGCAAAATTGTGATTGTAAAAAGAAAAGCATAATTCTTATTGTGTTTACGTTGCAATCTGGTTAATTATGGACATATTTTCTGAATAATTTTAATCAAATACATGGTTTATGAGTATCAGAACTTTATTTATAGGATGTAATAACTAAGGGTCATCCCGCTGATGTTTCTTCTGTTTCGCCCTTTTAGCTTTCACTCTGTACTAAGGTTTGACTCTTTAAGAAATTTGGAGAAAGTTTGTCACTAGTATTTTGGTCTATACAATCACTTTTTTTTTTTTTATACTAAAGGGTTCGTATAATTAACTGTGCATATAATATACTTTGGAGCCCATTGATTCTTCACAAGTTGATAGGCTAGATTTCATTGGAAAAAATCCAAATGAAAAAGAAGTGAAAAACAATTTGACTCACCATATTTGATTTCCTTGTCTTTTGTTTTAGCTTATTGGTTTTCTTTTGAAGACAGAAATTCCTGATCTTGGAGCTGACGTATGAAAGATTTTTTCTTTTTTTTTTTAACTTTGATGCCTCATAAGGTTGGGTATCCTTCTTGACGATTGAGCATGGGTTGATCGATTTATCCTACAGTTGCTGCCAATACCTGATGAACTGAAAAACTCCTGAGGTGGTCTTTTAATCAAAGGACAGGTTTGGAGCTTGGCTCTGGATTTGTATACTAGCTATGATGTTGTGCCTTGTACATTGCTCTCTTTCGTCAGCATTTGCCTTTAAGTTTCCTTCTGTTCTGTACTTTGTGGCAACAACAGTATGGTTTGCGAATTTATGATAGAGAAAAGAAATTCATTTAGGTGGCTGCAAGTATTATGGCCCTGTCTTGGTAGGGCATGCTCTTCCAAAATTTATCCAGCTGATGATGTGTTCAATGGAACTGGGTTAAAGAATCTAAATAGTATGTTTCAAAAACCTTTTCCAATTATTATTTGTTTAATTACTTCGTCCTCATGTCATGGTATAAAATTTTTGTATTTGTGATGTAGTTTTTTGTGCTACAAATAAGGATAGATTATTATGGATTAAAATTGATGAGTGCATTGACAAGGACTCTAATAAAAATAATGTCTTACTTAATACAAGAACCTATCAAAAAAAAAAAAAAAAGTGAAGTCGAATGATCCAAACCACAAGCGGAAAATTGCGGTCAAATGAAGTGGACTTTTAATTCATTCATTTGGCTATTCGAGATATGCAGGGCGCCGTTATCTTTGCCAAGAGTTGTCTCTGTCCGTCAAGGCTGCCTCCTTAAAGGTAATCAAGGAAAGAAGATCATGAAACTAAGTGCGGTTTAAAGAGTTTCCAACTATAATCGCCCAACGGACAAGAGAAATAATGTATGCATAAAAAAAAAAGTAGATGCAGCTTTTGTACTTGAAAAAATAGCATGGAAAGACCCTTAATTGAACTTCCAGGAAAGGATTAAAATCTGCTGATCAAATCCGAAACTAAAAGATAAAACCAGTAAGCAAAGCAAACGACAAGTCTTCCACGCCACGCCAAGAAAACGATGATCAAATCATATTACCTCCAAATTCCAGCTACCACACGCAAGGTCATGAAGAGAAAAAAGCCTGTCCAGACTCCGGTAAGACTGAATGCAGGAGCAGCCACAAATAGAAATGCAGATGAGATCAATCCAACTAGCACATACACAATCACATATGGGAAGCTTAGGAAGGATAAAAACATACCATTTGTCAACGATTAGTAAGAAAGGACGTTAAAGAACCGTAGAAAATGCAGCATATTCAAAGTCTGAAACTCCATCATAGAAACCATCATGAACCAAAGCGGTAGCATTTACTGGCCGAGAGCTGGTAACAAACTGCAAATTTAATCAGTATCAATATCAGATAGCCTACCAGTCAAAAGCCTCGATTACAACACTTGATGCGTGTCCCATGCGTGTCCCAGACAAGCCAAAACATAAAGATTCCTTTTTTCCGTGATTAGATAATTCTTTTCATTCTGTCAATGATATATTAAAAAAAAAAAAAGCAATGTGAAAGAAATTGACGTCATGGTTTACAAGAAACAAATGTCCTGGCGACCAAACATGACAACTCTGGTCGATAAAGACACATAATAGTTCTAATAAGTAGTATGTAAAAGGGAAACTGACTCCAATTGTATCTCCTAGATGAAAAAAAATCAATGCCATCGGGCATTTACAGACAAGTTATTTTTAATGATATAAAATACATGAACAAGGCATTGAAAGCCAAACTCATCCAGAATATCTAAAAAGACAGCCAAGAAACTAGATCAGGTGTTACAATGTGGCTTTAGACTCTTTTATAAGCAACAATCTAAAAGATTCCAAGCATTCTGTTGGTTAATTAGAATCTATCCAGAAGTTATTGTAAAAGTTTATATGAGTCAGTCACTTACCAGAGTATCCGACCCGGGAATTCGGAGAACTTCTGAATCTGTGCTAAATTAATAAGCCAGAAAATGCTCCAAATCCGAGGAGTAAGAAGACAGCAAAAGCAAATCCTGTTACTAAACCAATCTGCCTGGAAATCAAAGTGACAAGATAATAAAATTGGTTCAGCTAAATCACTCGGCGTGCTTGTTAATAATTTGCTTGAGAGTAATCAGTGGCAAAAAGAGCCTGTTATACAAACCAAAAAGATGATCGAAAAGTAGTTCCATATAAATATATTCAACAGGTTTCATTTAATGCTACTTAATATGGATGCTAATTGCCATAAATATCCTATATTTGGGTCTTCCGGTAGAAAAAGACACAAGCTACCTGACCCGAAAGTGCTAAAGAATCAGTAAGCAAAGATACTGCCAACCAAACTTGTACGCATATCTGATGATCAGCCATAGGAATAGGGCCCTGCCTAGCTGCCAGTGATGTTGCAAGCGTAAGAGTTCCGAGTGGCTATGGTCCTGCCAATAAGAAGTCTACCTGTAAGTAACAAAACCATTTCTATGCAAAGACTTTGGCTGTTTCACAATTGAAGTACTTTACAGGTTGTCTGTTGTTAACATCCGTTTTATGTAGCTTAACTGTAAGAGCAAACTAGGTAGGTGGTGAAAGTAATACTTAAGATCAGCATGAAAGTAACAGCTAAAGCTTGTCTTAATCTCAGGACATTAAATGACAGAGATATTCTAAGTTAAAACAGAATGGAATCTCAGGACATCATACTGAAAGTAACGGCTAAAGCTTGTCATAATCTGAGGACATTATATGAATGAGATATCCTAAATCCATGGAGTTGAAAATTGCTTAAGCTACTAATCTAAAACCTCCAAAAGTCTGAAAATTTTGTACAACACGCATCAATGTTCCCAAAGAAGCTATCATCTTTTTTTGCTGCAATTTTCTCCCATACAAGTTTGGCCTAGACCATTTACTTTAAAATTGGCAGAACACGAGAATCCTATAGGGAGAGAAAACGGAATTGAACATTGCTAAATTTAGCTGGCAAAAAATGTACCAGATTTTAAATAGAGGGCAACTTTATCCAATCAACAATTGGAGAGATCAGTACAACTTTCCCATTCAACTCCCAGAGGAGAATTATGGCAATCAGACATACGGTTAAGAATAAATGAAATGAAAGTTTAATAAAAGTAAAAATATCAACAGAACTTCCAAAATTAGCAGAAATATTATGAGCCGAGTACACTAGTATCATTAAGTTTACCATATTATTGACGTACTCAGAATCACATTCACATTAGCAACTGCAGCACCACCAATGTTAAAACCAATAGGAAATATCAAAGTTACTTCCAATATTGCAATCAGTAAGCTGCCTGCACCTGTTAATTCAAGGAAGAAATTAACTAAACTCAAAACGACAATATGCATCAAGACAGTAACTAACCTACTAGCATGATATTCATTCCAAACACTAAACTAGAATAATTTTTGGATATGGAAGAGTGCTATTCTTATCCTTTGATCTTAATTTTGCATCTAGTGATTCAAGAAGATTTAGGGGTGCTTCTCGAACAAAATCAACCATACTCGCATAACTGTCAACTTTGTTTACAAACTAATAAATAACAAAATAGTAAGGGAAGCTGAAATTGGATATTCAGAGAAGAAATATGAAAAGGATAATGGTAGAAGTGCAGCCTCTGGCATAACATACTGCAAATAAGCAGCAAAGAAGCCCCTAGAGAGAAATTAAAACAGAACGCTTGCTGTAATGCTTGGCAATGGCATGCAAAGGTGTCTTGGTATCCTTAAATCCACGAAAAGTGCCTCGAGCAGCAAGTGCAATTACAATTGGCGGGGCACCAAAGGCCCTCCAGGTGAGAAACCGCTCAGCTGGTCCATGCATTGGTGAATCCTATGAAATAAGGTAAGAAAAAATAGGGGATAAGATATATCAATTTAGAGCATTAACGATTTAAATATAATAATAAATTCATAAATAGCTAGCCTGACATACAACGGGTATACACATGATATTCGTTAAGAAACCGGAGCCAAACTGGGAGTGCAACCGCTTCTGCAATGCCAAGGCCAGCAGCAAGTACCAGCGAAGTGGATACAGAGGGTAGAACTTTCTTACCTTGATGCTCAAACGCGTCATTTTAATCACAACAAAAAGTCAGCGTTATGTAAAAGTTCAACCAAATGATATCATGATAGAATTGCAATTGCTTATTTACTTTTCACCTGAAATCGCCATCACCGCTTTTACTAATTAAAGCTTGCTCTTCAGCAACGATGGACGTTGTAATTTAAGTAACAGAACATTAAACAATTTTAAAACCAGATTGAATATTGATACTGATATCCAAACCGCCGCCAATTCAACTGACGCTGCACCCCAAAAACCAAAATTTATCAGTACTGGTTAAATTCATTTTTACGGAAAATTCTAAATTCTATAGTTCAAAGAAAATTAGTTAGGTGTGCTTGATAAGGTAAAGCTACAAATGCAAACTTGAAATGATTATAAACGATCAAGATGAGTACCCAAATGGCCAACAAAGGCTGTATAGACAACTGAAGCAAAGGGTCAGCAACCAAAGCCAATGCAGCAGGCAGCGCAATTGACAAAATCTCTAATCCAAGCTCATCTACCTTAAACCCATATATTTTTCCAGCTTTTTTTTTGTCTGGTGGAGGTAAATAAATAGTCTTTCAACAGAAATTTAACGGCTAGAGTTGTTTGCTGGTTGATAAAATATCTGCGTTTTGACTTCTTATTTTCTTTGCTTAATTCTTCACTTTGTCAGCCCATTTTGTTTTGGGTGGAGCCTTTCTTCCTCTACGATTCCTTCCACGTACACAGATGGACCATGGTGACAGAGAAGCTTAACTCTGACAGCTTGCATTGCAACTATTTAAGCATATGCTTGTAAACAATTCATGCACTATATCTTCACGGTTTATTAAAAAGAAAATAATAATAACAACAAGTGGACTTGGAATTG